AATATTGTAATACATATTGTCTCTGGTAAGATTACAATATTGTTTCTACTATTCCAATATCAATTAGTTTCTGATATTCCAACTATTTGATCAGAGTTCGTGGCAACTTTTATACCTGCATAATATAGTTCCATACCCTGATTTTCATTTTAAATATAAACAAATAATCCCACTTCTAAATCAGATCATAAATTATGATATACCTGCTATCAAATTTGTGTTTCATATTGGTCTCTGACTTACACTTCCGTATTGTTTCCAATATTGGTCTCTGGCTAAGATCCAATATTGGTCTCTGGGTCAGATTTCAATATAGGTCTCTGGCTAAGATTCCAATATTTGTTTCTGGCTTAAAGATTCCAATATATAAGTCTCTGGCTTAAAAGATTCCAACATTGGTGTTTGTCTCAAATTCCAACATTGGTGATAATCTCAGATTCCAATATTGGTCTCTCAGCTGGGTTCCCATATTGGTCTCTGTCTATGGTTCTAATATGGTTTAAGGGCTAAGATTCCACTTATTAATTTGTATTGGTCCCTAGCTAGCTCTGGTTATGGTATATCACACTTTTTAACATATAGAAGTGGAATGAGCAAAGAACTATAGTCTGATATGTGAAGTTTTAAGATACTTATATCTATATAACATAATTATTATGAATGATAAAATTATGTAAATAAATAGAGATTAAAGTCAAGTCAGTGTCATTGCCATTCTTATGACCTTAACAATGCCAGTGACTGGGTTAAACAACAATAAGAACACCATGTTCTTCAAGTTTGAAAAGTTATCATTCACTCTTCTATTGAACATTTGAAATGACTTTGAAATTTTCAGAAATAATGTAATAATCAATGATTATTGATAAAATCAAGCACATAGATTAACAATTAAGAACAGTACAGAAATTGATTGGAAGAAGTGTAAGCAATTCAGGTCAAATGTAATTTGTTTATAAGTCCCTTGACTAAGATACAACAATGTTTGATTGTTAAAACATCATAATTATAATTACTAAGGTTTTAAGAAAAGTAAAAATTTTACAATAAAAGAAATAATTTACATTTTGTATGTCATTAATGACTGATTTTGTAGTATTTAAAGAATCTGACACATGAAACAAATACATGTAGTACATCATTACACTGTAAGAACTTAAGCTTACACTGGTCCATTGATTTCTGATATTATGCGTATTATATTTTTAAGCTGTGGATGATTATCAAATTCATATGGCCATATTATTATAATAAAGTATAACTTCTACCAACCATTCTCTACACATGTTTATAATTATGTATTGTCAGCTATAACAGTGTTGATATGAAGTTTCCAAATGACTTTTACATTTACCAACAGGCAACCCTCATGATGACCTTCACACTGACTAATCCTTATGTTGACCTTTACAAACCCTCATGATCTGTAAATTGTTTTCTCATTATGACTTTATTAGCAACCCTAGAAGTAACAAATTAATCAAATTCATAATGTCCTTCATATTCAACCAACCCTTATGATGACCTCTACATTGACAAAACTTAAAAATTTCATTCATATCAACTAACCCTGAAAATGACCTTAACATTCCCATAACCTCAGTGTAACCTCCAAATTGATCAACACATTAGACCAACCCTCAAAGTTACCTTCACTGTGATTGACTAGACCTCCATATGACCTCCAAATTGACCAAACCTCAATGTGACCTTCAAATTGACCAACCCTTAATCTGACCTTCACATTAACCAAACCTCAATATGGCATACACATTGATTATCCATAATATGGCCTTCGCATTGACTGACTCTCAATATGACCTTCTTGAATTCTTCTCCTCCTTCAAGTCCTGTACATAACCAGCTCTGGGGCATTAACGTACAGTGTGAAGGTCACATTTACTAAACCTTAATATGACCTTCACATTGACCAAACCTCAATATGACCTTCACATTGACTAAATCTCAATATGACCTTTACATTGACTAAACCTCAATATGACCTTCACATTGAACTAAACCTCAATATGACCTTCACATTAACTAAACCTCAATATGACCTTCACATTAACTAAACCTCAATATGACCTTCACATTGAACTAAACCTCAATATGACCTTCACATTGACAAACCTCAATATGACCTTCACATTAGCTAAACCTCAATATAACCTTCACATTGACTAAACCTTAATATGACCTTCACATTGACTAAACCTCAATATGACCTTCACATTGACTTAACCTCAATATGACCTTCACATTGACTTAACCTCAATATGACCTTCACATTGACAAACTTTCATGATGACCTTCATATTTACTGACCTCAAGATGACCTTCACATTGACAAACACTTAAAATGACCTTCAAGTTGATCATCTCTCACCATTGTCCAACCTTCAAAAGTAATCCCACATTTTTCATATTACAAATAATTTATACACATATGAATGAATCTATTGTAATCTAAGTTTGAGTTTACAGGCAATAAAGTCATTGATAACAATCAGCACTTAACAAATCACAGGAGTCAGGAAATATTCACATTTTATATGTACACAATAATATAATCTCTTAACATACTTAACATGCCTGTGTATACTGTATTCATGATGAGGCAATTATACAAATGTACCAGTTGCATGCACATTCAAAAATTATTTCAAGGCGAAATATTTGGCCTGAAAAGTGGCCTCATATTGCAATGATCAGGTGCATCAAAAACAAAAAACAGTCTTGTCATTGGCAGTACAGGTTCAATATTTTGTCCAAAACAAAAAACAAAAAAAAAATTCGATAATTTCAAAACTGATCCCTGGCTGTATGATTGTTTTTTTATGTTGGCTGGGGTTTTATAACTAGACACAGACAGGTGCCCAAGAGACACAGACATAATATGAGATTTAAAACCATCACAACAAAAAGGCAAGATTACTGCTCCAATATATCTCTCTATGCTAAATGTAAATTAACAACAAAATATCAAATATAGAAATGAGAGCAGCTAAACAACTATGTGACTCAATATCCTCTAATTCTGACCATTATTTCTGAAGCCCTAATAAAGTGCAAACAAGAATTCATCAATATATCAATCAAATTATGTATACATATCACCTCATGTATTTAACGCATCTAGAGCTTTGATAATAGCATGGTAATATCATATGATAGAGGAGTATCAGTCAGTAATTGGACATTACAGTACTAACAAATAATTGAGTGATGTAAAAACTGAAACCTTTTAGCTCTTATTACAGAGAACATAAATAAGACTGCAACAGAATGGCATGAACTAAACACTGGTGTGGTATGTCAGTCAACACAATACAGATAGGCTGTCATCTTTGTGGCTGCTGCTGAGAAGAGTTATCTGCCCCTGATGAAGGATTTATAGATTCCCATCTAATCTGTCCACGGACAGGTACTGAGTCTAATGAGCTAGCATAAGCTGAAGCACCTGAAATATAGAAATATAATACAATCATAAAAATAGAAAAACTTTAAAAATATGTCTAAAAAATCTAATTTGTGTTATAGTGGCACCACACTGCTTATTCCTGCAGATCTTTATTATAACCAATGCATATTGTACAACTGACTTGTTATTTTTTAATTTTCAACTTTCCATTGCTAGTATTTAAATGAATAATACAGTATTTTCTTATATTAAAATGCTCAAAGACCGTAGTCTCTATTTTATTCTAGAATTAATGCACTGAGATTGGCTTCATTTTATGCTTATAAATACATCTGGAGCTAGAAAATATTTGCAAACACTAAATTTAAAAACATTTTCTTGCTGGAACTGCAAACTTCCAAATCGTTTATGTACATGTATAACAAAACTTTTAGAGGCAGTTTATCGGCTTGTACCTTAAGATCATTGTATATGAAAACTGTAAACTTTAACTTACCAGTTCCCATAACTCCTGTAGTAATAGTAGGAATGTGTCCCTCGCCAAATTGCTCCCCCTGTCTAGCTCGCTGCCTTTTTCTTAAAGCACGGAACACAAGCACCATAGTTAAGACAATGACCACAGCTAATACAGCTATAGTTACTGCGGCTACTGACTCTGTGGGATAATTCGTGTAATCATTGTCAGCGGGAGATTTATCTGTTATATCACGTTTAGGAGTTGATAAAGCAGGCGTGGATGCCGAGGAACTCACCTCTTCAATATCTGAGGTCTGAACCATTTTCCTAAGATTACCTCTGTAATATTCTTACATCACATAACACAAGACCATATACATATATGTCTTTCTTTTAACATTATTTATCAAATTGTAATTTCTTGTCAACTGAAATGAAAAACATATGATTATTTCAAAATAGGGCATCACGTTAAAGAATGTGATTAATTAAAACCCTGTCAGGAGCAAGTCGTTGTTTGCTCAAAACTTTAAACAGTTGCTTCTGGTATAAGCTTATTCATGGCATATAATTCCTACATATAATTATAATACCTACTAAAATAAATTCTGTATATGTAAACAATTATACATGTATTCACCATTTATTCTTATTAAATTATCACTGTATAAACGTTGGTAAAAAAAGTTTTCATTAAAACATTCATAATCAAAACCGATAAAACAAAAGAACATAACAATTTTACTTACCGATCATTTGAAGAAAATGAACTCGAGTTTGCTAAATAAACGCATTTATTATGACTTAATTTTTGAAAAATCGACTTACCACAATCATATAAGATGAATCGTGTATCTCTGTCACATTTTCGTGTTTTAAGAACGTAAGTAATTTCAAATATTTGATTTGTTTAAAAATTCGACAATAAAAATCAACTATACACCTGTAAACCGGAAATACACAGAGTGACACCTACCGGACAGGTAAATAGTTCTATAAATAAACTAAATTCAGTGACAATCTAAATTTAGAATATGGGTTTTTCCGACATGTATACGCATGTTTCTATTGGCTGCGCAGTTTTATTTGGTGCTCCCTCTGGCGGTGAACCACTAAAGTAACTGTGACTACTCCAAAATTTGGTAAGAAAGTTGGTCTTTGTTATTTTGTTTTTTAGTGATATTGACCACAATTTATTAGGATTTTTCTCAGTGAATAAAAGTTAAGGTCTTCTTAATTTAATTATAAGACTTGATTAGTTTGATACCGACTCAAAGATAATCACAAATTTTGTGGTTCCGAGGTCAAATTTTGAGGTGTGAGTCATATGAGGAAAAGACCTCGGTTTTGGCAATCGTTGAGATCATATCAGTATTTTAACTTACTTTGCTTGTAGAATTAAAGTGTCTGACAGGAAACTATTACTACCAATGTACATGTTTAGGCTATCTTCATGATCTGAAGAGTGTCAATATGTAGTTTAATTTGGTGCACTTTTGTCAAAATCACCAACTTCCTCTGGCTCCTACAAAATCATTATTTCTTCTTTAGTCTGGACATAAAGGAAACTTGTTCATTAAAAGTTTTATAAAAGGTCACCCTGCCATTTTCTATTCCACGTTTGACTTATTGGTTACCTAGGCTAAATACACAGACGTGGATATATCAGGATGCCCATATAAACAGGACAGTCAAGAAAGCAAGCCAGTAAGTCTGTTGCTTAACAGATGTAAGTCAGAACCCAGCTTGAAAATGGTTCTGATTAGTATGGTCTCCCCTCACCAAAATACTAAGAAATCACACTGAAATGTTCAAAGAAAAGCAGCCCAATTGATCAAGCTTGATTATGGTCAGACCTCTAGCATCTCAGATCTAGACATGCTTCACTCCCTTAAGCTTTGAAAACTGGAACTCAGTCGTATAGACTCTAGGTTATTTCTTTTCTACAAGATTCAACATGGTCTGGTTGCTATCCCCATCAAAGAATATGTGACACCCAGAAAATCCCTCCATGGCCATCCCCTCAGTGTGTTATAGGGTATCCACAACAATCTTAGACTATTATAAATTCTCATTCTTTCCCAGGACTGTATACCATTGGAACCACCTTAGTCCTACCCCCTGCAATTGCCCTACTCCCTATCCCAGATCAGTTCAGTGCAGCTAGCATTGAACATGTTTCACCCTAAATTTCCAGCTGCAGCTTTTACCCGTGTCTAAGCTAGTAATCACACCAACATGGATTAAAGAAGTGGAAAGAGACTCACCTCTGGTGAACTGAACAAAACTCCTCCTTTCAAATATTAGTGGAGAAAGTTAACTCACTCTTTTATTGACAGCATCTGTCACAAATTTAACAGTTTATTTAAATGGCATCAAGCCATAAAGGTTTCAGCTTAAAGGATACTTTTTAACATCATGCTCTGATGTTTTAGCTGTGATGTTAAAAATACTTTTTTCATACATGCCCATAAAAACAGTGTTTGAATCTCTGGTATTTCAATTTTTTTTTATGAAGAGTGACATTTTAATGTTTGGCAGTGATTTTTCACCTTGTGTAATAGAGGTTTATAAAAGGCCCTTTCCCAATGGAAATTTTCTTTAAAATCATGCACTTTCCCAAAAATCTGAGCTTACACCAGCTTTTTCACTTCCAAAATAAGCAATTTTTGGGATAATTCTTCCCAAAATTAAAAGGCTCCCAATTAAGTGAGAAAAACCACTGTTTGGGTAATAGATAAAAAACAACAACAACATGCAGGTCAACTTATTTGTACAAAAACAAGTGTTTTATTTTGTTTCTTAAATTCTTTATTCTTGTAAGTTTTATTTCTAATATTGTTTATCAAAGATGTTTCAATTGATAGATTTATCAAAGATGTCGGAACAAGATATACCTAGATACAGAACAGCTTTAGCTGTGGCTATCATGAATGGTACTGACTCCAGTCAAGCATTGACAGACTTGTTGTATGCTGATGTACCACTGAATGCCAAGTTCCAGGCTGTAGATTTTTGTGAACTGTTGTCAAACAATGCCGAGGTAAATCATACTTTAGAAATAGTCAGTTATTATGTCTAAGTAGGTTATTTTGTGAAGTTTGTAATAGAAATAGAATGAATGTGCTTGAAAGTAGTTGAGATATAACTTTTCAACAACCCTTTAATTTACTCTGTTTATTTAACAATTAACAATTTAATGTTTCAAGCACGATATGAATTGACCAATAGAAACTTATATTAATTTTTATTCATTATTATAATTTGTTGCATTTTAATTTTAACATTTTGAATTTTGACAGTCTGCAGTAACTCTGAAGAAATTGATGCAAGCTATGAGTATATTGGAGAAGTATGCTCGACATTTAATGAAGCCGACGGAACAGCGCTCAAACATGTGGCGACATATAAAATACAGTAACAATATTTTCCGTGAGAGGGTTAATGCTATAAAGGTATGTTGCTTAAATAAGTTATCCAAGTACATGTTGCTTGATTAGAATTATCATAGTACTTGTTGCTTATGAAATGTGTGTTGATTTGTAAATTTTGCAACAAATGAATCAAATAATTTAAGAATGGACTTAAATTTGTTTTTCTTGTAAAATTTGATACACCACCATACAATGACATTTCATCAGTCCTGTTGAAGACAGACCACAGGTGCCCTTCAATCCTGTATTTCAATCACGAGAGCACAGCCAAGTAGAACCACACACGGTCATTTTGCTCACTGGATAGCTTCCCTTGTGTGATATGACCCTGCATCAGTGAGTGACGGTCTAATTTATAATAGACTTGGATTAAATGATCATTACACGGTCTCTGTATTTCAGGGTGGAAAGTACATAATGCACTTGATGGGATATACTGAAAATCGGCCTGACGGTGTAGCGTTTCCGGATGGTGCTGAGCCGAATCCTGATCGTATCCTTCATTTGCTTGTCGATCTGGTTGAGGGACGTAAAGAACTAGAGACATTCTTAGAAGGGAATCATCCAAAACCAGAAATTATTGAACGATATCTTACACCACAGCTTATGTAAGATTTGGATTATGATTTGATTATTTTCACAATTTTGTGTCTAATGTTTTATATGTCTTATAAATACATACTTATCTAAATAGTCTTGATAACTGTTGGTTCTAGGAAGTGAAGTGATAAGACTGTTATACGAGTCTGTATCTTATGGGTTTAATATAGGAAAATAGTTCAATCTGTTTCTTAATTTCATGTGGTATACAAACCATGCTTTTGATAATATTTTACTTTCTTGCAGATATAGATTTCTTTAGTTCTGTTACAGGCATTGTAACAATATTTCTTTAGTACTGTTACAGGCCTTGTTACTATGCATTGATTTAAACAATGTTGTTTTTTCTTCTTCTCAGGTCATCCTTACAGAGTGATATAACAACTGCAGAGAATACAGTTGGTTCCCAGCAGGGAATGCAAAATGTAATTCCTGGCTCAGAATTTGTACAGAGCCAGTCCCAACCAAGTATTCCTGCACCATTAGTGCAACCAGGTTCAGGCCTAATGCAGCAAACATTCTCACAGTCTTCTGTCCAAGACAACATGGGAACCAGACCAAAAACCACCAGCTCAAACTTTACACAACCATCTCAGTATGCCGAACCTAATTTGCCATTAGGGCCAGAAGTTAGACAACCATATCCAAATGCCAATCAAATACCACAAAGGGCCACTAACTACCCCCAAGTTACTTACCAAAATGAACAAGGAGTTCAAGGTGAAATGGGGATAGTTGACCTTCAAAGTAATATTCAAGGTCATCAGCATCTTGGTCCTACAGACTTTCCAGGTCAAGGTTACATCTTAGGTAGAAATGTGCCTGATCAAAGACATTTAGCTGATTCTTACCAGCAAGGTCAAGGTGAATTTAATATCCAAGGTCAAGGTCAGAGTGAAAGTAGAAGCATTCAAGGTAACAACAGTTTGCAGTCTAACCAACAGTACCAGCAGATGCAACAAAGACAGATGGCAGATCAAGGGGGGATGCAGGTTTGTAATAGAAATTACAGTTTATTTGGCTTGTGTCAATGAACAAATGTTTTTGTAATTCATGTAGTGTAAGCACCAGAAAATGTTTAAGGTTGTTTACTTCAAACCACATGGCCCTTACTGTTGTGGGTTTGAATACCTACAGGAACTTTCATATTATTTCATGTAAGGAAGCTATCAAACCAGCTTACAAAATGTCTGTTGTTCTACTAGGGTGCCTGTCTGTGCCTGAAATAATGCACAGAATGGCACCTAAGGTCTTCCTCCACCAGTACAATTTGAAAATAGGCATATGATCTGTACATTGTTGTTGCAACATAAAACCTAACCAAAATATAAAGAAGTCCCAAGTGGAAATAGCACTCTTATATGTAACGGTTAACCACAGGATGGAGTTAAATGAGATAATTGATTGAAAGTTACAAATTTCCTTCTGATCTTCTGCTTGTTTGTCATGCTTTGCTTTGAAACATTGCAAAAAATATTGCCAAATAACACTTTCTCATATGAAATAAATTCCATTTTTTCTGATTTTAATTTGCTACATTTCTAATTCTACAGAACAGAAACCTTTATTTACTATTTCACTGCTTTCAAATGATTAAAAAATCACTTGTACATGGATGTGATGAATTTTAGTTTTGCATCTAAAAGTATAGAATAAAAATGCAGTACTGTACTTTTACCTAAAATGGTAAGATATAAAAATATATGTCAACTTTTCAGAATACTGAGGGACCATCAGAAGGAAAGATTGAGGTTGAATCAAAGATTCCAAGTATAGGTAAGTATGTCACATAAATTACACTTTCTATGGTTTTAATGTTAATGCATTCCCATATTTAACCATAATTTGTTTGATATTTTTCTTTTGGCTAAATTGTACATTGTTGAGTACAATACTGAATTCTATTGGACAAATATACAACTGTCAAAACTATATTGGACGTGGAGCAAGCCAAGTCTAATATAGGTTTTGCAGTTGTGTACGAGACCAATAGAATCAGTATTGTTCTTAACCATGTTTAATGACCTCTTTGTTCACACCATCAAATTTTGACATTTCAATAGAACTTTGTTACTTCAAATTCAATAAGGATTTGATTTGGATTGTTGGACTCTCAAAAATATAAAAAATAGGCTAGATGGAGTACAATATGCATTTGATGAAAATATTTTGAACTGAAAACGAGGCAATATGGGGTACAATATGGATTTGATATGAACTTTTTGGACTCTTAAAAAATAAGTATATAATTATATCTATATTTCAGCCTGTGATATATGTGGTGACAACCATGCGGTGGTTATATGTAAAGTATGTGATAACAAACAGCTGTGTAAAGATTGTGATGTAAAATGGCATAACCATCCAAAACGTCAGAATCATAAATTAGAATATATACACCCAACACTTGATGATGGAAGACAACCATCTTGTTCATCTGAACAAAGCAAAATGTCAGACCCTAGAATGCAAGGTATATACATTTTTATTCTATTTGTTACTTTTAAGCTTGTCTGTTTCGATGAAGAAGTCAAGCTATAATAATCGCAGCAGTGTTGTCGTCGTGCAAATACTTTAATGTAGGCTTACTTAAACAATTGTAAAGGTATCAATATAAATATTGTTAAACTTGTAATAATTGCTTGCCATTACAAGAGTTAAGACAAGGGGTATAATTCTAAAAGCTATAATATTTTAGAGTTAAGACCCTTTGTAACTTAGAATTTTTGTCAAAAGTGTTTTTCTTTTAACAGACTTGTGTTAGGACTGTGGTGCTTTTGTTTTATTAACATTTTTATGATATTTAAGATTTTAATCTTAATATACGTTTTGTCACTTAACATGGCCCAAATGTGTTAAAGAAAAAACTCAAAGAAATGTGACTCATAATGCAGTCAATGATTTAAATTGTTTGAAACAATAATGAACATATTTTTCAGGAGGGTCTCCAATGTCAGTTTACACAATGCAGCGGGAACCAGCACATCAGGTTCAACAAGGTTACAGTTTACAGAGCCAGGAACCTTCTAGAACAGCTCAAGTAGGGTACAATTTGCAGGGCCAGGAACCAACCAAGTCACCCCAGTACAATATGCAGGGCCAGGAACCATCAAAGTCACCTCAATACAATATGCAGGGCCAGGAACAATCAAGATCAGATCAGATAGGATATAATATACAGGGCCAGCAACCATCTAGGCAGACACAAGGGTACCATTTACCAGGTCATACACAGACACAGCAGATGTAAGTATTATAGGTAGCCCTGGTCTAGTAATGGTTGATTCTAAACATAGAGATTGTGGGATTGATCCTGGCTTGTGTTTTGAGCATATATCCTCGTAGGGAGCAATAGTCCAATTGTAGGACACAAGCTTCATGAATTACAGGTCCTCGGTTTGAAGCCTATCAAGGACACTGCTATCTTTTTTTCTCAAGACATCCACTTAAATTTCTTCACATTACTAAAATGAGAAGTTGTTAACAGGTGCTTATATTCCAGACTTGCAATTAGTATGCAGTTTTTCCTCATTACCTATTGTGTGTTTGGTTGCAACTACTTATCTATAATTTTAAGAACTGCAAAATAATCATGTTTGAATCATACAGTTAAATTTGAATAATTTGATATGATCAAGGAACTGTATTAACAATTATTGTAACTGTACTCATTCAGGTCTTTAAGTCTGCAGTCTCCCAACGATCAACGTTCACAAAATATCAACAATTTCCAAGCTCAATATGATGCAAAATCCAGCCCATACATGACGATGGGTCAAAGTTCAAATATTAATGTATCAAGCCCGCCAAATTCAGAACATCCTAATTCCCACACACAAGGCAGTTATATTTATGGACAACCAACCATCATGGGACACATGCCAGGAAGCATCCACTATCCGGTTTCTAGTGGAGTTTATCAACAGGGACAACATCCTTATGCCATGTCACCACATTTGGTTCAAGGTCAAGTGGCGCAATATCCTCTTGGCTACCTGCCAAATGTATTTATGCAGCAACAACAACCACAGATGTCTATGCAGGGATATCTGACTCCAGTTGCATCAGCAGTTGCTAGTGTGCCAAGAGCAGATAATATTAGGTCAGCAACTTTACCTAGGTCATCTAGTACAAATACAATGTCTGCTGCTCCAGTTTTAGTCCAAAATGTACGACATTCGATATCTTCACCGAAGGTGTCAGAGTCATCAGACACCTCGAATATTAGCATGAGTAGTGTGAGTTCAACAAATTCAGGGTCACGGTTACTGCCTAAGATAAAAGCCATTGGTGACCTTGAAAAACAGCATGCAAAACTTGAGATAAATCTAATGACCTTGAGAGATGACCTGAAGGAGTGGGAAGAGAAGATCAATGAAATTATTCTTCAAAATCCGAACTTTTTCCAAGATGAAGAGTATAAACGCTTAAACCGAAAGAAAAGAAAGCATCTTCAAGAGGTTAATGAGCTTCAGAAGTATCAAGTAGAGTTAGAGCTTCTTCTTAAGGAAAAAGAACAGGAAGAAATGGAAATGAAAGGCAATGAAGTTCAATTACTTAAACAAAGATTTAATCAGATCAAAACTGGAAGCTATGATAATCCACCTTTGAATTCTGAAGCATACATAGCTCCTGTTGCCTTGGAGCCGATGGTTCCTGTAACCACTTCCTCTAGACCAGTCAATTCATCAGGCTTGGTACCAGCTGGTCCCGTGACTACAACCTATCGTCCGCATCAGCTACAGAAAAATACGCAGTCTTCTGGAGAACCAAACTACGAGAATTGTCCTCCGCTACGTATTAATAGTCTTGGAGATGATTTATCTGAAGACATTAAAAAAATGCTTGTCTTCGATGCAAATCCTCATGCTGTTGAATCTGGTCTCGGCAAGAAAATACCTAACCATGCAGAAGTTGATCCTAATATCTTTATCCCACCAAATTTATCTAATCAACAAGGAACCAACCAAGATTTTCCTAATGAAAATTTAATTGGTTTTAAGAAAGGCGGTTCAGAACCAAATCTTCAACTTCCTTTAGCTGGAAACCAAGTTCAGGTGAAGAAAAGTCAGTCTACCGCAGATCTTCCAATGTGGCAATGTGAGCATTGCACCTTTTTGAACAATTATGATACTAAAGCCTGTATAATATGCTTTAAAACTTCGGATAATCCAAAAAGAATTGATCCAAATATGCCTGCAGATAATGAAGGGGGAGGTAATGTGACAGAAACTTGTGAATTTTGCACTGTTTTCATGGAACCTGGAACACAAATATGTGGGGTTTGTGGAGAGACACAAACAAAGTATAAATTCATTAGTCAGAATGAGCACATGCAGTTTGAACCAGAAAACCCGGCCATAAGTCAAAACATTGCAAACCAGTCTGTTGAGGAAAATGCAGGGAACCAGCTTATAGAAGACCAGAACAAAGGTGCAGGGTACCAGACAATGAGTGGAAGACCAGGAAAGGTGAACCAGTCTGTATCTGATGCTACAGGAGACAGTGTAGCCACTGCAGCCTCAAATGTTGGGAAAATGATAGAAGAAGAACAAGATCAGGTAATTGACATTTTTTATTTATTCCTTTTTGAGGAGTCATCATTATAATTTGTCAGACCTTTGTAACTTTGTGACTTTTATTCAAGTATCAGTCTTTGTTTTGTTTGAACCTGTTATTGTTGTGGACTATGTATGTTACCTTCCATTTGCTCTATACTGCTGGTCATAGGGAGATTGATGTCGGTGAAATAGTGTTGTAGCTGATACAGAACCAGTTAGAACTGGTTCAGAATTAAGACATAAAATTTTCCTGTAACAGCCCGCTCATGTATGACTAAAATATTAGGTGCAGAACCCAAACAAGTACATGAGCATCAATACTTGGATTAATAATTATTCTAATGTTTACCTTGTGGGCACTTTTTTTTTCATTTTAAATCTAGAAGTGCCATCAATTATTCTTTTATTACAAAATAAGATGATTTGTTTTACATTAACATTGCAGGTTTACCTGGAAAAGAAAGCTGCACGAGAAAGGTTTGAAAAAATGAATAAATCTCAGATTGATATAGCAGCAGCAGGTTTAGAGAATATAAATGCAGCAGATGCACAGGGCGTGGCCACTGGTGCAGTGGGAGGAGCTAGTGGAGGCCCAGTAGGTGTGCCTAAAGGTACAAAGCAAAGTGTAGAGCAATTAAAGCAGGAGGTTGTTCAGGAGTGGATTGTAGTTGATAAAACACCAGCAAAAGAGACTCCGAAAGGGAATCTTCAACAATCTTTAGAGAAAAGTCCTGTAAACAGTAAGTTCTTTTTACCATTGTTTTTGTATAATATGAAGATAAGGCCAAAAATAGTTCTGTTTCTGATGTCTGACTTAATAAAAATGGTGCTGGTAATGTAGGTAAAATGTTTATTTTTTTATTGTAATATATATAACTTTATACAATAACATACAAAATTGTAAAAAAAAAGTTTCAAAAGCAGAATAGTAAACAATTTTTGTTGGGTTAAAAATCACACTAACATAAGTATTATTAAGGACATATAGTTTTTTATCCCTTTAGTGGTATTAGTGGTGGACGAAAACCTCAGGTTCAGAGGCACCTGGGTAGAACCACCGACATTCAGTAAACTACCTGAATAGCTCCCTCACAAAAGAAATATCTCCTTTCATGGAGGTTCTGGTTTTTTTACTAGTATAATTATTATACTGCTTTTTCTTCTTGCCAAAACGGATAAATAAAAAAATGATTTATTTTTTTTAATTGTTTACAATAACTGTATACTACAAACATTCTGTAACAAGATGCAATATTGTTTAAGGTGCTTTGTTTTCAGTGATTTATTTAATTCCACGTCTTCCAATCTTTGGAGGTATAAATATATATATCATAGTTCTTGACATTAGTGATGTAATTCCCCAATCACCCTCCTTTCACCCCCCACTCCAGTCCATGTTTTATATCTTTGTATTATGTATACAACTGCCCTATCAAGTTTTAACCTCTTACACTGATAACATATAGAGAAATATAGATTAAGAAATTAAGATAAAAGAGAACCCTAGGAACAAATTTCAACAACAATCCAAAAAAAGGAACAACATTTTTTTTCCCAAAAAAATTTGACTGGACAAATAAAATATTAATTGAACACACTGAATCTGGACGGACATAGACAAACTCATGTTGAAACAATAAAAATATTACAATGCTAATGAAGCAACGGAGACTACAATAGAAAGGCCATACTTAAAGGAACTCCACTGAGGTCCAAAAGCCTAAAAACATAAAATTTTGAATATCTTTAACATAGGTCAGCTGGGGAATTTAAAACAGAAAGATATGCAAAAAGATAATTAAGAGTTATAAACAGAAATAAATAGAAAATCATAGTTTTGTACATTTCTTTGCTCGATTTGAGTGAAAAGCATTGCTAGCTTTTCAGTTTTGTGTCATATTTAGCATAAAAATGATTATTCTGGAGAAACAGAGTGAATGAAATATCTGAAATTTATAAAAGTGATTTGTCTAGACATGGATCAAATGGGACATTAACTTTGAAAAATTATTTCCAGTCCTGTCATATCAAAAAACCTCAGTGGAGTCCCGTAAAAAAACATTCTTGAAAAAAATTATCAAATTTTAGACACAAATTTTTAATTCAACGCTTCAAAGAAGATGGAAACTGAATCAATAAAATTTATACTGTAGTCCAGGAAACAAATAAGACAATTTTACATAAATCCACAAGAATTACTTTACTTCTTACCAAAAAATGACATCCATATTCACGTGAATATAACTTACCAAGACAAATACTTGTAATTATTTTACTTCTTACCAAGAAAGGACATCAAAAAAAAAAGGACATCCATATTCATGTGTACATAACTTATCAAACCAAATATTGTAATTATTAAGCACTGTTTCTTGAACGTATTCTTTTTCAACAATTCATTTTACCAATTTATGAAATGCCTGATACTCTGTTAAATATTAACATCATTAATGCAAAAATAAACTATGGTTACTTATGTGTATATAATTGCTTAAATAGACATATGATAATGA